CGGTTCCCTTGCGCCTGCAGTGCCCTTATTTGAGCAGCACATCTATGTAAAGGGTAAGGATATCCTTCAGTGTTACTGTATATGATACGTACCCAGGTGTTCGTATTACTCATATGGGGAAGGTAGTCACACCATTATTGTATTGGTATTTGAGGAATGCAGGGACGCCCTGGATACCATTATCTGGACAATACTGGTGTGGATTTCCATTCCCAGTAATGTGCGCGGATATAAGTGTACTACTATTATGTGACGAGTATAGTGGTGCATGTACTAGTGTATGTGAAGGATTCAGGGTTTATGCTCTAATTACATAAGCGGCCCTATTCAGTGGAGTCCATGGATATTCCAGTATAACTATTGTTTAGGGAGTACCATTGTCTGTACTTTCTCAATGGTGAGGAGTCTAGAAATCCGCATACTACTATTCTATAAGCGTACGAGTAGTGGAGCTATATGGATCACCTGGAGTGCTATTATACGGACGGAAGCATGATGTGTCAAATGTTTTGCCTTTATGAGTAAGATTACCCTTGGAGTACGATTCTTTGATAGAGTACGTTAATACAGAAAGTACCGTCCTGTTTACAGTACTGTTGTGTGGATAATACTTCAATTTGAACAGGATATTCGTTGAAGGAGTATTCATGACTTGGAGTACTGTTCTGGGGACACTATAGATGTATGTATAGTACTCATATCTAAGGATGCCTGATATGGCTTGTACGATGCCATTTGATGAGTGGCAAAGTTAATCTCGTATTATTAAGTAAAGTAAGGGGGGGTGTAGAATTTATGACTTAGCTTTGTGCCGTATGAGGATTGCCAACCGTTACGCAACGTGTGAAAGTTGCCATAGTACCTCCGTATAGAGGGTACCTTTGTGTAGGACACATGAATGTGTGAATTGCACGTTTACTTGAAGAACACTGATTTTATGTACAGAATAGTTTCTCCTGATCAGTACAACTGTCCTTGGAATAGCATTATTTGAAGAGTCGTCATGTTGGTATAATGGCTGGATGATATGACTTGGGCGATTCTGCAGATCCGACAGGTATCCTCCAATCATTTTGTCTAAACAGTAGAGCTATGCCAGGGGTACTATAATGTTAACCGTATTATTGTGTCAAGAATACTGATTTTCGAGGGGTGTCATTATTCGTAGGGTAATATTCTTTGAAGTGCATGCATATTCTACAGAGGCAAATGAGAAGGAAGTATACATGTTTCCCCATTTCTTATGGTGACGAATGCGGAGATTCTCGTAGTACTGTTATATCAATGTATTAATGGTTGATCTATACTGATATCTGCAAAGTACTGTCCATTTAGGGGCATAATTGTATAAAACGTACGGATGATCTGCGGCGTAGTCTTGTGAGTGTACTCATATCTCCCTAGTGTGAGGTCCTCGAGTGCACAACTGTGCTAGGACTCTGGATATCGAA